TCTTATTATTATTATTATTATTATTATTAATATTAATAATATTATTATTATTATTATTATTATTATTATTATTATTATTATTATTGTTATTATTATTATTATTATTATTATTATTATTATTATTATTATTATTATTATTTTTCCCCTTCATTCTTTCTTGGCTCTTAAAAATGATGGTTGGGAAACTGTGTTCATTTGGAGTGCGATATCTACGCTTTTCGTCCTAACCCATTTGATTTCAGCACACCCCAGATTTAGTCATCTTTTACGTCATGCATGTAAAGCGACAGTGAATAAGGCCTCCAGAACACGGGGAGTTTAGCATACAGATGCTATTGCTTTTGTTTAAGAGTTTATTTTGTCAGTTTATTATTGGTAAGTTTAATGTTTTATCCACCCCCCCCCCCCCACCCCACCTACCCCACTCCCTTGTAGCCCAGAACCACTTTTTTTTTATCCGGTACCATTTGTTACGTCGGAAGAATGTGAGGCAGACAATTATTCATTTTCTCCAAATTGTTTCAAAGACTTTCAAGCGTTATTTATTTAGTTGTTTGAAATGTTCATCCCTGTATACCTCTGTCTTCTTTCTTTATGTCTGCTCGTTTATATGCTATTCTTAGTGCGTGTATCTATAGAAGGTTGACAGTGTAAATGTTTAGAGCTCAGAGGGGGGAATTGCGCCGAACTGAATCCCTTGTGGCTCAGTCTTTCTCTCACCACGATAGCTAGCTGCCTTTTGAGTCACACAAAGCACCAATTTTGTAGCTTCAGCGACGATCACCATAAACTGCACTAGTAAACCTAACGACTTTTTTAAAATGCAAAGCAAACGATGAACAGTTTGTTTTTTAAGCTATCAAGCCTTGGGTGACTTTAAATCATGTGATTTCCGCCATTTAGCTGGTGAGCTGTGCTTTGTGCGATACTCAACTGGGGATTTCATGTGAAATGTTTTTTTGTTTTTTTCGATGTTGCCGTCTGTGAACGCTTTGTTTTGAGAACTTCACTTAAATGATGGATGGCCCAACTGCGTTCGGAATGGCGTTTACTTACGCAGTATTGCGTGTGCACCGGCTTTCGTAACTGACTACTTGCATCAAATGTAAACTGCAATTCTGGCGTGGCACGGTTAGTGATGGCACATCTGACTGCTACCTTATGCATTTACTTTGCGTGTGCGAGTTTGACGACCGTGCTGGGACTGGCATGTTTTTCTCTTCTTTTCGAATAGAACGGGGAATACAATTTTATGTGATTTCCACTGTCACGGGAGCTGGACAGTTAGGAAGCAATTCATCTGAAGTGAAGTTGCAGTCTCGGTTCTTTACTAATATTTTACTCCTAGATGACGTTACAGGACAGGACAAAATTTAAGAGGATGATAAGACTGGATTTTCCGGCTTTCTGGCTGTAGTCTCCGGTTATAATTGTGGTCTGGTTTTTTTGCACCATTTGCGTGGCTAAGATTGTGGTATGTGCGCCAGATCTCTGGCTCTATGTTTCTATCCTAATAGCTAGATCGCTCCTTCTTGTCTGGTACCAGTGTTTCTTCTTATGTTTATCTTTGAAATGCTTTTGCTTGTGGGTCATCCTCCGTTTGATTCATTCTCATTATTACTGTGCTCTTGTACCCTCCACTGTAGCGGCGCCCGTGGCTTGGGCGTTGCGAGTCCGACTCGTACTTCCAACGTACCGCTATCAAAACCCACTGCTGGCTGCGTGGATTGTTATCATGGTATGGGGCGTCGCAGGTCGACCCAGCCTAAACTGGGTATCAGGGTGGATGTCCTGGGGAAGTAAAGACGGCCGGCGTGATGCTGACCACATTACCCACCTAGTGCCTATTGGTCTGTACAAATATGGGTGCTCTTCCCATATGTCCGATGGTCATAAGGCATGAAAAGGAATCTTTACTTTACTTTTACTATCCTCTACAGTGTTTACGAATGTGTTACCTACTAGCTTGGCCTGGTGTATTTTGTAAAAGACCAAGCTAGTTCGCAAACCGGCATAAAAATGTACGTTTCCGAAAAAAAAAAAACGCGACTCTAGCCAAGTGGCTCCAACTCTTGCTATCAGTCATGCGGCCATTCGTTTAATCTCAATCGGTGTACATTTTTTCACTGTCATGAACTGACAGATGAATCCAGCCTTAAAATCATCAGCATTATCATAATCATCATCAGGCTACAATACTCCTCATAATTCTTCTAATAAGGTAGCTTCTGCACTGTGCTTTGCATTGAACGCATGGATGTTACCTTTCCTTTGAAGTGAACAAAGCAGGTCGAGCGATAGGTCGTGATGCCGTGAAACACATCTCTCTACAAAATTGACCAGGTTTTTCTTTACTGTCGAGAGAGAAAGGGCGGGGGGGGGGGGGGCTTTATTATTATGCCCGCTTTCTCACAACACGACAGCACAGTACAGCCCTACGTCTGGAAAGACTTACATGTGCCAAAACACGTGCACATCAGAATCCTCGTGATTATCATAATCATCAACTTCCCTATCGTCATCAGCACACGCCTTTGAGCCTTGACACCTCATAAAAGGTGTGATCAGTCTGAGCACTGATCCTGGTATAGACAGAGTCACTTTAAAATAAGCGAAGTAACCAAGAAGAGCTGAAATGATATTTTAGGTTAGTTGCGTATCCTTTACAGGACGTTGCAGAACCAACCCCAACATCCTCTGGCTGTTGTGTGGTTTTTCTAGGCAAATTTACGTTCAGTAGTTTGCCATTGCGTCTGGACGGTCGGCTTTCTTGATACCACTGTCGAAACCAACACAAGGCCCATGGCCCGCAGCTGGGATCGAACCCGGCTTCCTGGCATTACGAAGCGTTCGCATCGACTTAGCCACAGAGCAGACTGAAATGATATAAAGCCAAATAAAAAGTAGAACCATTCAGTTTCACATTATTACAAACATGGATGAAAAGTGAACGTTGCTGCTAGAGAGCCTTTCCCAGCACATTATGTGAATATAGAATACGACAAACACGAAAAATCATACGCAAAATCACTCATATCTATCTGGTCCGTTGAAGAATCTTGAACACGTGTGATCACTTGGAATAAAACAAGAAGAGCACAGTGCATTGATTAGAACTGACGACGTTCAAGACAGTCAGCCATATGGCTATAAGTTTGAATTCATATCGATAGAAATTACTAGTTCTAGCTCACAAAGTAATCTACCTTTAAAATTATCATCATCATGATCATCATCATCATCATCATCGTCAAACTGTAGTGCCGTTGTATGTCACAGAAGGCTTAACCAGTTAAAGCCCTGGACTAAGTTCATCGACTGACTGACTGACTTTCTACCCCACTAGGATATCACACAAGCGATAAACACCCGATGACATAATGTGTCACCATGTGGATGAGGATCGCCATGGAGAGGTCCCAGAAACCGCGTTCAGCCATTAGGCCATATTTATAGCCAGGCTATATTGCGGCCCCTGGCAAGAGCCAGAGTAGGGCTTCAAATGACGAAAAATTTCATCCTAAAAAAGACGGCTAAATAGTCTTTAGAAAAGGCTAAGAGTTCACCTTTACATCGCATCTAAAGTTATAATTGTCTGGGTCTTAGTAGTTTAGAAAATCATTTTTAAATAGACAGAATCCCTGTATATGTTCTAGAACCTTCTTGTGTGGGAACAAGAAAAACCCGCTGCTCCCTTGGGCTGATTGGTCTCGAGGTGTGGTGTCTGCCTCGAGTGCTAGAGGTTCAGGGTTTAATCCACGGTAAGGGCTGGGATTTTTTCACGTTGACTTGGACTTCTAGTTATTTCCCCTGATCTCTTGGTAGTGAGATCGGACGCCCGTGTGTAAAAAAAAAGTATCTTGGCAGTTGGAAATCGAAAAGAGTAGCTAAGGGTGTTGCCCAGTCAAAATTTGGAGTTAAAAATCTACCCAAAGTATTTCGGGATCCTCGCCGGTGCTACAGAGCCTGTGCACTGTGCAGAGGTACTTCGGACTCAGACTTGAGTCAGAAGAAGAACGGAGCACAAATGGGTTACTACCAGTGTGCCATGATGTTGATCCGTTGTTTAAACGTTAAAGCTCAAACCTGCTGCTTCCTTACAAGTATGACGTTAAATTCATATAATTATGGCGTTTTAATCGTAATCTGACGATATCTGCCTGAGAAACGAGGAACCAACTGACTGCATGCAAAAAACGCAGATCTGTAAAACGGATGTACATGCGAAACTCACATCTAGAGAGAAAACAAAATCTAGAAGTGTAGGAAGAACTAGAACTTTTCGCCAAAGTGTACAGCCGGTGAACCTTGGGGAAAGAAGGAAATATGAGTTACAAAAAAATCATTGTAGATCGCTTGTTACTGACAGTGTTAATAACGCACAATAATAAAAATTTTATTAAAAAAAAAATAATTAGTCATGTCTTCCAGGTCGACCCAGCCTCAAATTGAATCTAGGAAATATCTAGGAAGTAAAGGCAGCCAGTAGGATGTTAACATCGCGTGAATTAATTCGCGTGAACAAAAGGTATTTATTAAACGAAAGTTAACAATAAAACTGAATGCAGACTAATGTATTTATTTCTTTTATTTCAGCGAGACAGCAAGACGCCCCCATTTGCTGCAGTAACAAAGTATTCCCCAGTTTTCCAGGCTGTGGTTTCAATGATTCAATTTTACCAGACAGAAGAATTCATGGGAAGTATCCCGAATACTGATTTAGTAATCGATATCACAGCATACCAGGCATACATTTAGGTCCTCCATTTCCCGGTGCAAATGTCGTAAGGTGTCGATGCTAACGAACTATTCCAGTAGCACACACGCAAATTAACACAGAACCGTATTTATTCCATGACTATAGCCAGATGGTTCAGTCTTTTGTGAATCAAAAATGACCTAACTACAGACTCCCTTGCACAAATGTCATTGATGATCTCCCATCTTGTTTCTGAAAATCATTGTCGTGTGTGACCAATCAGTATCGGCAAATACTGACCATGAACTTGGTAGACACTGACAACCGTGTTATTATCAACGTGGGTGGTATCCGACATGAGACCTACAAGGCCACGCTTAAGAAAATCCCGGCCACTCGTCTCTCTAGGCTTACAGAGGCCTTGGCTAACTACGACCCAGTTCTCAATGAGTACTTCTTCGACCGTCACCCAGGGGTCTTTGCCCAAATCCTTAACTATTATCGTTCCGGGAAGCTCCATTACCCAACTGACGTCTGCGGGCCTCTGTTTGAAGAAGAGCTGGAATTCTGGGGGTTAGATTCCAATCAGGTGGAACCATGTTGCTGGATGACCTATACACAACACAGGGACACACAGGACGTGTTAGCTATCCTGGATCGCTTGGATCTGGATACAGACAAACCTACAGAAGAGGATATCATGAGGAAATTCGGTTTAGAGGAAGGCTATAAGAATGGCGAACTGAATTGCTGGCAGCGGATACAACCCAAAATATGGGCTCTGTTCGATGAGCCTTATTCCTCCACTGCTGCAAAGGTGAGTTTGTCCATGAGAATAGGACACATCTAACTGTTGTAAGTGTATGAACTGTGTCTCTTAAGCAATGATTTATTACGAAGAAGTAACGTTGTTGTCTCCTTCTTCTTTATCCTTTCTTCTTCTTCTACTTCTCCTCCTCCTTCTCCTCCTTCTCCCCCTTTTTCTTCTTCTTCTTCTCGTTCTTATTCTTCTCGTCTTTCTTCTTCTTCTTCTTCTTTTTCTTCTTCTTCTTCTTTTTCTTCTTCTTCTTTTTCTTCTTCTTCTTCCTCTTCTTCTTTTTCTTCTACTACTAGTAAAACAACTACAACTACTGCTGCTACTACTAATATTACTACTGCAGACGCTGCTGCTGCTACAACTACTACTGTTGCTGCTGCTACTACCAACACCACCACCATCACCACTACCACTGTTGCTTCTATCACTTCTACTTCTACTTCATTATCAACAACGATAACAATCAGTAACATCACGAACATCATAACAAATGTTACATGTTTATATTGTAATTTCAACTGTTGCTTGCTTTCACTTTATATTAAGGATTGTAGTGAGCGTACATACATAGATCTATATATGTAATATATATATATATATATATATATATATATATATATATATATATATATAGAGAGAGAGAGAGAGAGAGAGAGAAAGGGAAAGAGAGAGAGAGAGAGACTCGTATATGTTAACTGCATGAAACCTCAGAATAATAACACTTGAAGTCTTGGATAAATCTCCCGCAGATACCCTCATAAAAACAGTAACAACAGTGAAACAAACATTGGTGTCTGACTTTAAAAGAGCAATCACATACACATCTAGCCAAACACAATAACAGATAGTTTGAACGGTTACTATACACACATTGATTACAAGTCCTAAAATTTACTTTACAACTGTTATCTACATAAGTTTGGAAAGGTACCTCCCAGATTCTATCTATACGTTTTTAGAGTAGCTAGTACAGTAAAAGTAACACCTACAAGTTGAAATGTAAAAATACACCTTCTATTTACAAGTACAATAAGTAATTTTTCATCTACTGTTTACATTTACGAAAAGTAATTATACGCTTACTTTAAATAAATGAAAGCAATGAAAATAAATGACCTGGTTGGCTAGCTTGGCTTGGCTTTTTACCCCACCAGGACATCACACAAGCGATAAACACCCGATGACACAAAGTGCCACCATGCGGATGAGGATCACCGTGGAGAGGTCCCAGAAACCGCGTTCAGACATTTGGCCATAATGATGACCTGCCTATATTGCGGCCCCTGGCAAAAGCCAGAGTGGGGCTTCAAATAACAAAAAATAACGTCCTAAGAAGGACGTTATAAGAATAAAAATACCTGGTGTGTATTTTGAACATATTTCCTAACTTGCAAGTGACACATAATCTAATTTGTATGTATTTATCTGTATGTATATATATATATATATATATATATATATATATATATATATATATATATATATATATACACACACATACACACACATACACATTGATAGCCTGCCTTACAATGTCTGTAAGTGTATAGTTTACGTTTAGAACAAGTAACACCACGCTATACGCTAAAACCGCAAGTTATTTTCCTTAGTGTGACTAAATGTAAAAAAGTTAAATATTACATCGTGCCTTGTGGCATACATGGATAACGGCTAAGGCTAACTACACACAGCATGGTAATTACAAGGGAAAGGGTTAATCTTATATTATTGTTATAACAAAATAAAAAAATCGACGGTTTTCTGTATTCTACTTTCTTGACTGAAGCCTCGAGTTTTAACACTATTTGACTCAAATAGCCATTCTTTTCCCTCATCATGACCACTCTAAACAAAAAAGACAAAGGTCGTAATAATCTAGTTACCAACTACAATGAGTATATTGCATCCTTCCCTTCGATGTCCTCTTTAGAAAGTAGAGGGGAAGAGGAGAAGAGGCAGGGCAAAACAGCTGAATGCACAATTAGTAAATAAACATCCTTCAAAAATGCCAGCAACAATGCCAGTTACAAACTCAGAGGTGGAGGGAACTGGAGGATCAGATTGCCACCAGCAACTAGTAACCCAACGTCCTACAGCGTTATGAGACTTTAAGGATCTAAATGATGATGATGATCATGGTGAATTAAGGCTGAATTTAGACGGGATGAGGCCCCAAGAAACATACAGTTCTGAGTCCCTACCATTTTAAGTTACACTAGTTATTCTCAGAAAAGTTTTAAACATATTCGCCTTTTAAATATATGGATAATGGGAAATACTGTCGTTTAATTTACCTGAAAATAAATAATAATGAATGTGTTTACAACATAAAAGACATTTTATTGTATAATCCTCTAGAAGATTACGTCACAACTTAAAAACATTTATGTGAGAAACATTTTAAAAATATTAAAAGAAAATTGCAATTAAAATGTCTTAAAAGATAATTGCATTTGAAAAGAAAAATATGAAATTTTTTTAGGTCCCTGTAGATTGCGGATTATTTAGCTTATAGCTTTATCCGACACTGTAGTGAATCCAACAAAAGCAAATCCATGAACGTGTATCTAACTCAGGCCCAACTCCGCTCTGCTACACACTTATGAGCGACAAAGTCTGTGATTGGACGTTCATTCATGCGCGTTAACCTTTGAGAGGCGTAGGTTTAAGTGGTTAAAGTTGTATTGTCTCGACGGACTTACCGGCGACCACGAGTGCTCTGTATTACAGGATGTGAGCTGTTTTAACCACCCCATAACATGCACTACTGGCCCTAATCACAACCCTCCTACCACACATACTGAACCTAGGTCATACGAGAGAGTACATTCTACACGCTTCTAACGTAGACTTGCCGGACCAATCAATCATCAATGACAGGTCAGCTAGTTTGCAGCCTGGTGGAGCTGGGCCGAAGTTCGTTACTAGTTCCATAATCAAAGACAATAATAGTTATGAAATTCCAGTTACGGCACATTCTTACAAGGCCAAAAATAACAGTATTATTGGAACACCGAGAAAAAAAAAAGAACATAACAAGTAACCTGCAGTCATGTATGGACAGGGTTTGTTTCTAAGTATGAGTAAGCAAAAAATAAATAACTCTATTCATGCGTTTAGGGCATAAGACTTAAATTATATAGACCAATCGGCCCTTAGTGGGTGATGTGGTCAGTGGCACGCCGGTCGCCTTAACTTCCCGTGGCTGTATCTGGCACCCACTTAAGATTTGGGCGACCTGGGAGCGAAGGACATTTTTGAAAAAGTTCGGCTTTGTCAGGGCCCGAACCCACGAGCTTCTGATCCACAAGCGAGCGTTCCATCTAAGTACAGGGGGCAAATAATTTAGTAGAAACAAACAGTCAGGGTGCACGCTTGCAATGTAGTTGAGTGTTCAATGCAGTTGAGTGTGCAATGCAGTTAAGTGTGCAATGAAGTTGTGTGTGCAATGTAGTTGAGTGTGTAATGCAGTGTTTACTGTTCTAGAAACTGATGATCATAACCCACGCAACATACATTGCACTATACTGAACACATCCCCAAGAGACGCCCGCATAAAATCCACAAAGAAGCACCGAAAAAGGAAACAAGTTGATGAAGGAAACGAAAACGCAGAAGAGAAACCCTAAAGCGAACGTTGATGAGAGAGATCAAAGGTGATGGACTAGATTCCATCCATGAAATCAAAATAACTGCGCAGGAATTAACAGAATGGCGGAATAAAATGCAAGCCTGGTGTGAATTGTCGTGATTCCCAGAAAATACGATCGGGTCTTATATTAATTAAATGACTTTGGCTCCCACGTCGACCCAGCATTAAATAGTTATCAGGTAAAGTCATGGAAAGTAAAAGCGACCGGAATGATGTTGACCATATCACCCAACAAGTACCGATTGGTCTATAAAATATATGTCTAGCCCTATATGCCTAATAGTCCTGAAGGTGAGAAAAAGGGTCAGTCACTTTACTACTTAACAGCAGCATTAGGGCCTATTTTACCGGGTTTTTTAATAAGTACAAAAATCTACATTTTCTTAAGCTTCAAAATCTTTATTCTTAAAGCATTAATGTCAGTAATATTATCTTTTTATATTTATACGTCATTACTTAAAACTCAATGCGTTATGTGTTAACAAACGAACGAAATTATTCCACTTACTTGATGATTTTAACTAGGTCTTATACTTGGGGTAAGGTTTAAATGAGTTGAGTTGGGTTAAGTCAAGAATTGACATCACAGAACTCGGGGCATTTCCATGCATGCTTCGTCCTGATCTCCAGCAGCCGGCGCAGAGTTTCAATACTGATGGTACCGGTCACAGTTTGGCTATGTGTCCGGCTTGACTTGACTTTCAGTGTAGTGAGCATGCCAGACCCTCTGGTTATACCCAGGTGCCTCGTTCTCTCCAGGCTGTAAAAATCTTCTATCACTATTGATTCTGTTGCTTGTTCCCAAAGGGCCTTAACCACATCTGCCTTGTCATGTATCAATTCACCACCCATTGGGGAAGATCCAGCCAATCTGTCTGCCTGTTCTTTACCCACCACGCCGGCATCACCTGGAAAAAAGATTCAAAGTATGCTCACTAACTGTGACCTTTCCAGTAAAGCTTGCCACTCTGCTCGAAGCATCCTTGTCTTCGCCTTTTTCAGCATGCTTTCGTAGTCAGTTACAATTACGACATTTGTATGCATCTTGTTCTCTAGCAACCGGAGAGCTGCAGCTACCGCCTTCACCTCCATTCTCATACTAGAACATTGTGAAAAATAACGCCAGGGATAATTTTCAGACTAAAGAAAGGGGTGTGGGGGGGGGGGGGGGTATATGTCAAAAAATAATAATGCCCACAAGAGTGCATGGCTCTGGCATGCACCTGATGTTTCGGAGAACTGAGCACGCATGGGTATGCCCAATGTGCAGTAACATCAAGTGTCATAACAAAACATAAAATAACATCTTGTAGGGAGTCGGCTGTCCGAAACCCAAGTTCAAGGTTGT